ACACCAGGAACGGCTCCAGGGCAACCTTGAAGGCTGAACTCAGGCCTTGGAACCTAAATAGGTGCTTGCCAGGCAAGTCAGGGCCCAGGGATGCCCAGGCAATCAAGGAGTGTGAGCAGAGGCATCAAGTGCTTTTCTTCGTTTACTCATTTAACAAGTATGTATCAAGTGTCTCCTCTGTGCCTGGCCCAGTGTTAGAGACAGGGATACAGCAGCAAGTGAAACAGGTTCCTGCCTTCACTGAGCTAACGTTCTAATAAAAGAGACCATCCTTATACTAGTGAACCAATACACAGCCCAGGAACTATGCAGAAACACGATGGGTCAGGTGACCAGACAGGGCTGGAACGGTCTTCCTGCCTGAGCTGTGAGGGCAGATGCGTGCACAGAGCAGGAGGGAGACACCACTGCTCACCTCGCTGTGTTCTCTGGGGAAGACTTTCCTTAAAGCCCCTTGGCCTCTGGTGCCACCTTCTTCCCCCCGGTGTACAGAGTTACCTGGCTGGGGGCTAAGTGGTAACGTGGTCCACGCCTCCCCTGGGGTAGAGAGGACTCCACTGGACGGAGTTGTTCTGTGGCGATTATTTTGCTCTCTTTCCCTTCTTTCTCCACACAGACGATGGCTTGAAGACTCAGCCCCTGCCTGCAGGTGCACGATCACCAGGACTACACTGGGGAGCTGGAGGAGACAGGGTGGGGGTGCAACTCCTCAGGGAGGCATTTTGGCGTCCACCTGCTTTTTGAGTTTTGTCTTATTTGTCAGTTGCCTCAGAACTTGGGAGGGGAAGAGAAATCTTTTAAGATAAAAGTTTATATAAGAGGAAAAAAACCTTCCCTCCCTCAAAACTAAATTAGGCATCGCTATCCTCATCTATCAAACCTGTCACCTTAATGAAAACTCCTTCAAATCTCCCACTTAATAGCTCCAAAGGCACAGCTAGACTGCAAAGTCTGGTCCCAAAAGGCAAATTCAACAGACAGTGTGAACTGGGAGGTGGAGCAGAAACCAGGATTTCAACACTGGGACAGAACCCAGGTCCAGGGTTCACAGCCAGTTGCCACAAAGAGGGGGTGGGGAAACATGATACCTTGACAGTCTCACCTTGAGACTTTATGGCCACATTTTTTTAAAAACCACAAGAATCTCTTGAAATGATCTTTTCTTTAGAAATTTAAAAAATACTTTCAATATATGTACACACTTGCCTTCCAACTTCCTTGAGAGATACAATGAGAATATAATGTTATCAAGAACAAATATTAATGGCATGGAACCATCTATCTGTAGGGCTCAGTTCTCAGCATTCAAGGTTTCTTTTTATGATAACAGAGAGGGCAGGGCCAGTGCTGTGGCACAGCAGGTTAAGCCAAGGCCTGCAACACTGGCATCCCATACAAGTGCCAGTTCCAGTCCTGGCTGCTTTACTTCTGATCCAGCTCTCTGCTAATACGTCTGGTAAAGCCTGGGTCCAAGTGTTTGGTCCCCCTGCTACCTACATGGGAGAATCCCCACAGCCACTTGGAGTTTCTGGTGGCTGGCTTAGACCTGGTCCAGACCTGGCTGCTGTGACCATGTAGGGAGTGAACCAGCAGATGTCCCCAAAGCAACAGACATTAAGGGGTGCAGGACGAGAGTCCAATGCATGGCAGAGGTTTCCTTTAAACGCTTCAGGAATTCAGAGCGCTGGGAACAGAGCGCTTAAGATGATTTCTCGAAGGATTTATAGATGGAAAACACCAGCGACGCGGCAAAGCCACAACTCCCCATTAGGGGGAGAGACAACAATTAGAAGTTGCATGTCTGGCAGAAGAAGCTCCTAAAAGGACAGAAACGGGTCTGGCATTCCTCTGTGCAGCCCTACTGTGCCTGGCACTGTGGTGCACACTGGTGGGTGCAGCCTCATTCTGGAACACCTACAACAAGCTCTCGGCCCCCTGTAGCCGCCCACCTTCCAGCCAAGAGCATTGGCCTCAATGACCAGGAAATGCCCCCCTCCCTTTTGGCCTCCACCCCACCCCTGGCTGTGCCATTCTGCACAGGGATGAGGAGAAGCTCACACTCTCCATCCACCCCAACCCTGCCAGGGAGGCAGGACCAGCTCTGCTCACACAGGCAGAATCTACGACAGGCTGCGCTCTCTCCCTCATCGAGTTGCAAGCTTGATGCGACAGAAGGCAAGTGCCCATGGTGGAGACTGAGCAACACAAAGTCCACATCCTGAGCACTATCACAGGCCCCAGGAAGGGAAGGATCAGCTGGAAAGGCAAAGGGGCTTCACCCAGGTCTGTGCTCCCCTGCCCAGGAAGCGCTGGCTGCCACAGGCATCAGGGTTGTTCTGGCTGCACAGACATGTTGCTATGGAACCAGTGCATCCACTGCCACTTGGCCTCCAGCAGTGCTAGCAAAAGCGCTTCCCCGGCTTCCCTTACAGGGATGGTGTGGACGGCAGCGAGGCTCGGGCTGAGACAGAGGCGACGCAGCTCTCGGGGTCCAGCCCCACTGCATGCGTGACACAGAACCCAGAGCCTTCGTGTTTTACATGACGGACATGTATGCCGGCACCCGCCTCTGACTGCCACGGCTTCTGTGGGTGCCAAGCTCCTCCCCCCAAGTCGGAAAAGCAAAGGTGTGTGACATTTTGGGTAATAATTTAATGCCTCCAGAGTCATGGAATGAAGCCACTCAGGACCCCAGTAGGAAATCAAAGTTGCCTCTGGTGGTCTGCCTGCAGACAGGGGACCTTCCTTTCTCTCCTTTCTCATTTCTGTTCTCAGAACCCCTCCAGCAGTTCCTTTTTCCCCTAAAAGAGCAGTACAATGCCGGCCTGGAGTTTGGTATTTTTTCCCTTTTCCTAAGCACCTTAATTGTCCCTTACATTCTTGTCTTATGAATTCATGATTCTCCAGAGCCCTTAATATTCCCCAGAGCATGCAACGTCCCACTTACATTGTAGTGCACCCTGGGGACGCACTTTTGGGCTTCTCTCAGATAAGATGGGGAAAATGTGGACCTTCAAACTCACTGAACTTCTCATAAATGCACATTTGTGCCAGGAGCGGGGAACTTTTTTCTGCCGAGAGCCATTTGGATACTTATAACACCATCTCATGGGCCGCACAAAATTATCAATCTAAAAATCAGCTGGCTATAGATTTATTGAACTTTGAATCTCACCTGTGGCTGCCTTGGCACAACCAGGCTAAATGATTCCTCGAGCCTTATACGGCCTGTGGGCTGGATGTTCCCCCCAAGTATAGACTCGGCATTTGGGGACCAGGGAGATCAATACTAGGGTAACAGGCAGGTAATCCCTCAGTGAATCAGAATCCCATGTCTTAAACTCTGGTCAATATACAGGCAGACACCAGATCACCACCACATCCTGATATGGAGATATTCCAAGTTCCATAAAAATGACTCCAGTCCAGCCCACATGTGTTAAGAAGTAATTCATGGGGCCAGTGCTGTGACATAGTGGGTAAAACTGCCACCTGCAGTGCTGGCATCCCATATGGGTACTGGTTTGAGTCCTGGCTGTTCCACTTCTGATCCAGCTCTCTGCTATGGCCTGGAAAGCAGAAGATGACCCAAGTCCTTGAGTCCCTGTACCCCAACGTGGAGACCTGGAAGAAGCTCCTGGATCCTGGTTTTGGATCAGTCCAGCACTAGCTCTTTAGGCTATTTGGGGAGTGAACCAGTGGATGGAAGACCTCTTTCTCTCTGCCTCTGCCTCTCTGTAACTCTGCCTTTCAAATAAATAAATGTCTTTAAAAAAAAAAAATAAAAAAGAAGTAAATCATTTGACAAGTGGCATAGACGAGCTCTCGGCACCACATGGAGACCAATCTTTGGGTAAGATGAAGTGTTTGGCAAATAAGTGCACTTAGTTCACCAACATAAATGTATGCAATTCAGAACCAGACCAAGCACAGGACTCCTGCAAAGCCCCACAGGCAAGTCCACCTGTGCGAATGCCAGCAGAGACTCAGGTTCTCACATTCCTCTCCATCTCTCTGTGAAACACTGCTCTTATGGAAAAGTCAACATCACTTTTTTTTAAACAACCAAAAAAAGTATTTTCCTGGAAGAATGTGTTCTGTACTACCAGAAGCCTGTTAACTATGACTCTGCAGGTGCAGGTGGCGCGTGCAGGTCTGCATCTGGCCAGCCCACAGCTGCCAGTGTACCGCGGCTTCTGGCTGCAAACCAGATGTCCCACGAGTGTTGGCACATGGCCACGTTGCAAACGCAGGGGGCTGGAAGGGGCACAAAGGAATACACACCATCTCAGAGGAAGTCTCTAACACAAGTTTCCTGGGGACACCCACTCTGCCAACTCCTCTTCGTAGAAGCCAGGGATGACCGCTACAAAGTTCAACAGCTTCATGGCTTCACTCCTGACTCTCACCTTAGAACCATCTAGATTTGTCCACTTCCTCAACCTCTGGGCATAAAAATCAGCTGTGTCCCAGGGTGAGGCCAATTGCTCTCACATCCCAGTGCTAAAGCCCCCAACAGGTGACTTTAAGCCCTTTGGGCCTCGCCTGGCTCATGTGCACTTTGGGCCATCATCAGGCAGCCCGAGAGATCGCATCTAGGGCTCATAGCCTATTATTCTTTACCATGAGATAGTGCAATAATGGGAACAAGATGGTTTCCCCTGGCACTGTGCACAAGTCACTAAAAGAAACTTAACTTCCTTGCTCGGCCCCTCTGCTAGCTGGACAAGGTACCAGCAAGGATGCGGACAACTCACAAGAGGCAAAGCACGGGAATGGCTAAAAGACACGGCAAAAAAGTCTCCGAGAGAAATCATCCCATCTTAAGAACAAGCACAGTGAGGGGGAGTGTGGAAGAGCAGAAAGAACGGCTTGGTTCCAAGCGGAAGAAAACATCTGCGGGATGCAGCCAGCAGACACCTGTTCCTGGAGCATCGCAATAATTGGAACAAATGCCGACGTGGCGAAGACACAGGTGGAGGGCTGAAAGGGTCACTCACTCTGCGAAAACAGCAGGTTGGTTTTCTTTTCGCCAAGACAATTTTGGGCTATTCTCTTTGGAAAACTGGAAGAGAAAAAAAAACACATTAATTCATTTTCCAAATCAGGGCAGGTATACAGGCCTGGAGATTATAGGGCAACAGCACCTAAGAATGAGGGGTATGCACACTGGTTTGATTGACCACACACAGATTTGTAAAACAGAGCTTTCAACAATCCATGGGTAGAAAATAATCGCACATGTGATTTTATTTATTTTTTTTGACAGGCAGAGTTAGACAATGAGAGAGAGAGACCGAAAGGTCTTCCTTCCGTTGGTTCACTCCCCAAATGGCCACTATGGCAGGTGCGCTGCGCTGATCCGAAGCCAGGAGGCAGGTGCTTCCTCCTGGTCTCCCAAGTGGGTGCAGGGCCCAAGCACTTGGGCCATCCTCCACTGCCTTCCTGGGCCACAGCAGAGAGCTGGACTGGAAGAGGAGCAACCGGGACAGAACCGGCACCCCAACCAGGACTAGAACCCGGAGTACCGGCACCGCAGGTAGAGGATTAGCCTAGTGAGCCGCGGTGCCGGCCACATGTGATTATTAATTATAAAATGTGTGCTCCTTAGGACAAGGAACATCCTTGCATGTTGGGGTGGCTGGGAAGTCCTGTCTTGCATGTCCACCCTGGAGGTGAATAAAAGCACCTTAACTTAAATAACCCACGTGTGTACTTTGCACTGTCCAGAACAGCAGCCACTACCCACAGCAATGCATAACAAGGCTCCTATGGGGACGAAGAGTTCACAGAGAAGCACGGAAGGCCACAGATCAAGCCAACCGAGTAACCGTGTGAGGAAGTCACAGTGTCCGAGATACCAACTGGCCACAGCCAGCGTGGGAAAGAACTGAGCTGATGCGAAGCTCGGGCAGAGGAAGCCCAAAGGATGGGGCAGATAAGGGCGTGACAGCAACAGACTGCCTAACCTACACCGCAGAAGGAACTCCACGCACGGCTCCGGTTTTAAACTGTTCCACAGACTGTGTAACAAGGGACCTTTGTGGGTTTAGCAGAGCTGTGAAGCAGGGCTATTCCAGCCTCTGCGGCTCCCCGGGCAGACTCTGCACAATCCCAGAGCCTCTGCGGCTCATTCTACCGCTGGGAAGAGGACCGCTGCCTTCCCGTCCTTTTCCAACAGGAAGTGGATGGTGCTGGCCCTCAGGGTGATGTCACCTCCTCAGGATGTCCCACTAGCTCAAGGCCAGCCTCCCTGCTGCAGTTTCTCAAGATCTCCAGGCCATGCCTCCAGGGTCAGGCGCTACCTGCTACCCTATGAGGGTGCCATCGGCTTGGTGGGGCACGGGGCACCAAGCCAACGTGCCTCCGGAGAGGCAAACACACCACAGGAATATCCTGCAGGCGGGGAAAGTGGGACCCGCTGGCAGAACCTCCGAACACCTTCTCATTTGTAAAGCAACATTTTGCCTTCCACGCACACACATTAAGTGTCTCATCCTAATGACAGACAAGATGTCGACAGGCAGGATGAAACACATCACGAACGCTGACTTCAGTGTGAGGCCATAGGCTGCATCTGAGTCCCGTCACCTCCTCGCCATGCAGCTCCAACTCCTTAAACTCTCTCCTGTCATGTGCATAACTGCAACCATCAAACCTGCTTCCTAGAATGTCAAGTTCATGGTGCAGTGCTTGACATGTGGAAAAGACTTCATAGAAAGGAAAGGCTTTACACCAATGGACATGGCTTATAATTCATAATTGATTGGAACGGGAGGATCTGTTCTGTATTCTCTTTTTCCCCAGCCCCTAAAATTACAGGAGACAAATGAGAACAAAATAACTACTGTAACACAAACAGATCATATAGATATGGGGGGGGGGGCCCAGAATCCAAATAATACAAATCAAGTCCTTTGTATAATCACTGTTAACATTCTGGGCTGTAATTTGGCCTCAGGCTCTGTCCTGTGCCCAAATATACAGAGTCTATTGTACAAAAACCTATAAAGTTGAATTTATATGCACACCTAGATGCAACTGATTTACAGCACGCTATGATCGCATAGACATGGTTTGGCTGCCTGATACGTTTTTTACTTGTTATACTGAAAAACTCTTATCAAGAAATTCAGCTACGTCACATCTTTTAAGGACTTCAAGAACACTGCCTTGAGGAGCTGGCATTGTGGTGCGGCAAGTTGAGCCAACACTCGTGATCTTGGCATTCCACATCAGAGCACCACTTTGAGTCCCACCTGCTCTGCTTCAGATCCAGCTCCCTGCTGATGTGCCTGGGAGGGCAGCAGAAGATGGTTCAAGTACCTGGGTCCCTGCCTCCCCACATAGGAGACCTGGATATTATTCCTAGCTCTGGCTTTGGCCTGACACAACCCTGGATATTGGCGCACTTGGGGAGTGAATCAGCAGATGGAAGATTGATCTCTCTCTTTTTCCCCCTCTTTGTCACTGTCCTTCAAATAAATAGATTATAAAATTTTTAAAAGATTTATTTATGAATTCAAAAGAAAGAAAGAGAGAGAGAGAGAGAGAGAGAGAGAGAGAGAGAGAAACAGAAAGATTTCCCATCCACTGGTTCATTTCCCAGATGGCCTCAACTGCTGGGGTTGGGCCAGGCCAAAGCCAGGAGCTTCACCCAGGTCTCCTATGTGGGTGGCAGGAGCCCAAGGACTTGGGCTATCCTCTTCAGCTTTCCCCAGGTCAACAGCAGAGAGCTGGATTGAAAGTGGAGCAGCCAGGACATGAACTGGTGTGCATATGGGATGCCACCATTGTAGGCAACAACTCTACCCACTATACCACAATGCTGGCCCCAAATCTTTTTTTGAAAGGAGTATTCATTGAAAAAAAAAAAAAAACCTAAACCAATAAATATGTACTTGTTAAATTTACAAAATCTACTAAAATCTTCCCCCACATCAATGAAAAAAGCACATTGTGGTAGCATGTGGTTCTTGATCTTCTGCATTTTCTTTAAGATCAAGAAAGGCAGACTGTGTGTATGTGTGTGTGTACGTGTATGAAATCTTAACAGTGAAAACTGTTTTGGTTTGAGTGGGTGTAGCCCAGAAGAACAAACACATACAACATGGGGAATATACACAGTAATTATATTTGGTATCCAGTGTTTTGAAAAGGGACAGCACCTTACGAGGAATAATGGTAGCCTCAAGTTTAACAAAGAGTATGTATGTTCAACCTGTTCATGGTAGTCTCTGTATTGACAAAGAGAAAGGCAAATGAAAACATGGATTCTTCAGGGACTGTAAAAATTAAATCACACAGGGACCTGCATCATGTAGCCACAGGTTAAGCTGCTGCCTGAAGACACCCGCATCCCACACCGAAGCACTGGTTTGAATCTTGGCTGCTCTGCTTCAGATCCAAATCCCTGTTAATGAGCATGGGAAAGCAGTGGATGATGGCCCAAGTAGTTGGGCCCCTGCACCCAACAGGGGAGACCCACATGGAGCTGTGGCTTCCTGGCTTCAGCCTAACCCAGCCTCATTCCTTGTAGTCATTTGGGGAGTGAACCAGCAGGTGGGAGATCTCTGTCTCTCCCTTTCTCCAACACTCTGCCTTTCAAATAAATGAAACAAAACTTAAAAGAAATTAAATCCCATGACCTGAAGTTCAAAACCTGACAAAAGAGAATCATGACTCTCCATGATGTATCTGTGTAGTGCCATATTTCTGGTCTAATTTCCTTCTTAAGGCAATGGTGGGCTTGTAAAACATACACGAAAGGCTCTGTTTGAGTCACAGAACACTGTGCCACACCTGTGAGAGTGACAGGCAGCCTTTCAGGAAAATGATGGAGGAGGGGCCTGGGGAGCGAGTGCACGCTCTCCATTACCACACAGTGTGCAGTGGATTCCTCCTAGGTGGGAACTTCAAGAGTTTGTGGAAAACTGAATTAACTGGTAAGTATATTTTGGTTAAAAAAAATTTGAGACCTTTGCATGTGAGAGGTCTTCAACAAGTTAATGGAAAAATGTACATTAGAAAAAAACTGCAGGATTTCAACATTTTTTCATAACAAAAATAAATTTGTTTTAATGCAAATTTCCATGAACTCTTTGAAGCACCCTTACAGAGTTTGGTTTGTGAAATCTGAGTGCATAACAAATGATAGATGGCAGCCCTTTTACATGCTACTTTACAACAGCAATCCCTATGTGTTGCATCCTTGGTCCAGCTTATACAACTTGTGCTGGGAGTCATCCTCTTAGGAGGGATTTCTACTGCGCTATGTTGGCCATCTGAAATAGAATCAACATTAGGAAATGAGAAGACAGACTTTAAATTTTGGCAATGGATAGAATCAGAGAGAGTATTTCTCTTGGACAACTCACACCAGAGATTAACTCTATCATAGGAGATGAACTGAGCTACTTTGAACAAATCTCTCTTTAAAAAAAAAATTGAGAGACACAGCGAGAGAGCGAGCTCCCATCCATTGGTTTACTCCTCCAAATGTCTGCAAGGACTCACTGGAACTGGGCTGGGGCTGGAGCTGGGAGCCAGGAATACAATCCAGGTCTCCCATACAGGTGGCAGGGACCCAACTGTTTGAGCCATCCTGCATTAGCAGGGAGCTGGAGTCAGGAGCCAGGACCAGGAGCCAGATATTCTGATGTAGAATGCAGGCATCTTAACTGGCATCTTAATCCCCGGTGTAAACATTCATGGCTGAACAATTTTCTTGTTGGTGCAATCCAGGAGCTGGTGAGGCATCTCTGAGTTGAACAGTGAACTTCCTATAGGAACAGAGATTTTGTTTTTGTCCACCTATCGTGTGGTCCTGCTTTCCCCATGAGTGAGCACCAGATGGTTGTGTCATATGCCATATATCTTTCAAAGCTAAATTAGACACATTCTTAAATTTCCTTTCAAAGGGACCTGTGCATCCTCTAAAGACATACACATAACACATGTCCTATATAGAAGACCTGCCTTAAAGCTTGTAGTTTAGATGCCAGCATCCTCATCCAATTATGTGTCTCTGATAAATACAACCTGCTACCGAATGTTCCACAGTGG